TCCAGATCTGCTAATGCAAGCAGTGTCTTATTCCACAGCAGCTAAATCCTAACTCCTCATGGCAGCACACAACCGCCAACCGCCAGTGCTTGCTTTTAGGATTGCTGCTAGTTAAGTCAGCCACTCTTTGCCACAGTAGTTACTGCCAGCCACTGTTACTGCAGTAAGGCATGGCAGCTGCTGAGCCCACAGTAGAGCAGGAGCCAAGTCCTGGCGCCTGCTTGGCTGAGCTAAATGTTCCCTTCCTTGTGGGAGGACACCTAAGTCTGATTCTGCCGGGGTCAGTTGCCGTAGGATCCAGCTGAATGACATATTCCAGAAGATTAAGTGTGTGGATTCTAATTAGGGATATTATCTGAAAACCTCCATGCAAATACTTGTACTAATACTTCTGAAATTGTGCTATACTAACACGTGGGCCTTGACTCTTTTATCCGTACTGTATGTATTTTTGTAATATAGAATTGTTGCCCATTTGTGGGGAGGAAACAGGAAGTGGCTTGGACAGAAGCTGTTTCAGATTGATTCCTCCTCCATCCCTAATCCCTAACCCTAATAACCTAATTGTGGATATGTATATCTCATTTCCCTTAGTTTCAACAAAATATTTACTCTCGATTTTCAGAGAAATGGCTGTTAACTGGGTATTGGCAGTGGACATGTGCTCAGATCTTAGTGGAGTCATGACTTAGGCGTGTCACATTCTTTGCCCCAGTTTCCTGTCTGTAAAATGAGAATCTCAGTTTACTGCACCTCATTATTAAAAACATCTTTATAGTTTCTACCAGTCTTTAAAGCATATTACCCACTGTGTTTGCCTTAGGGTGGGATATAGATTTAATACATTGATTAAAGAAAATCTCTGCTTTGTCATGAACTTCTTGGCAGCCTTGGGCAAGGCACCACTTTGAGTCATTCCCCGTTGCATTGCTCATCTGGTACACAAAACTAGCAAGACGTGTGGCGCTGCACCTCCGGATAGGCTGTGCTTCCCCATGACTAGTAATTCTAGTTTCTCTTGTGGCTAAGTAGCCAATAATTTTTTTCAAAGAGCACTTAATTCCAATGAGCATTGGCTTTTTAGGATTCTGTATCAAGCCCTTATGAAGCAAAACCTCTTTGGTTTAGATAAGCAGGGCTCTTTCAAGTCTTCTTGCCGCCCCCTCCAGAGCTGCCCTGTCTCTACTGCAGTTAGGCAGTTCTTTTTCTCTGTAGAAATATCTTTTTGACATGCTTTTGGTACCTTTTTTACCTTCTGCCTTGTCTCCCCCCCCCCCCCCGCATGTACTTCATTGGGTTGTAGTCTCTTCCCTTGTTTTTTTTATAGTGCCCTTCATCTGTGCTCTACAGGTGTTAATTAAATAGCCTCTTGCTGTTTTTAAAAATGTTATGCAAGTATGGTTTGATTCCTGCTTATGCCTGAAGACCATGCATCTAAAAAGCAGGCAGCACCCCAACTTTGATCTAAGCCGACTTGCCTTTTCAGCTAAGCCATTTGCCTGCATTCCTCTATTACATGAGTAGTTATTGACTCAGATTATTGGCAACACATTTTCAAACTACATAATTTGTGTGGATTATGTAGGTCAGGGGGTGGGCAACTGTCGGACTCTTAATTCCTACTGGTCCCAGCAACTATTGCCAATGGTTAAGCATTGTGGGGGTTGTAGCAACAACTGGAGGGCCACAGGTTTTTCCATCTCAGCATTAAGAATAATCACCTAATTTTATTTTTTGCACTGCATTCATCTGACTGGGTTGCCCGCAGATTACATTATGTGGATATTAGGTTTGTACAAAGTACATTGATTGAATGTTTACATTTTAGGGGATGATTTCCAGGCAGAGCTGCTGAAGAAGCCTATGGGGAACCCAATGCTTTCTCCTAATCCTTACCCTAAACATCAGTTCCATCCCACTTTTGATGCCTTTTTTTCCATTTTTGGTCAGGGTGGGGAGGGTTGTCATTGTTACTACATCCATTTTCTGCTAGTTTTCCACTTGAGTATCAAAAGTGTTAAGTGAGGCACAGTAGGCAGACCCTGTCTTTTTTCCTACATGCATTTTATGCCTCTTTGCTCAGGTGCTGCCAACATTCATCACTCTCTCCCCCCCTACCCACCCCAAATTCTCTTTTCTCTTCCACAAGAACCAGGTACTTTCCCTGGGTTAGCTGCCAGTTAATCTGTGTTGCAACTGACATAAGAATCATTCTAGGCTGCTAGGCCAAATGCTGTAACTATATTATGCTTATTATGCTACATGAGCTCACCAGGAAAAGAGCAAATCGTTCTGCCTAGATTTTAGAGCACTGAAACAATTTTGCAGAGGGACAATGGCTTTTTAAAGGCAGGAAAATTTCTTTAACAGATAACGTGGCAGCTGTGGGTCAAGATGGTATATGGAATGAAACCTGCTCTGTCATTCCTCTTGCTGTATGATGCTAAACAGGTTTCCCTCTTCTCTTTTTTAGCTTCCACGCTGATATGGCAATTGCTTCCTTGGCAAATGAAATCCTCAAGAAAATTGAACACTATCAAGGCTCATTCAGCTAAGACAGTTGTTGCTTTAGAAATTGTTTAAGTGAGAGTAATGAGAATTTTTATTTACGCTATCATTTGTCTTTTTTCTAAAGGCTGTGATGAGTAACTGGAATCAGCTTCCACGGCTCTGAATTATATCTAGGTTCAACCGAAATATTTAAAAACCCACCCGTTTTATGTGTGTAATATAATGAGCCCCATTAATTGCAGAACCATCTTTTCTCACCAAATGCTCACATAGACAACAGCGTTAGCTCTCCTACCTTTCTGCTGAGAGCACAAAATATGAGATTGTTGAAGAGTCTTGTGTCTTTTGCTGTTCCAAATATAAGGGACTATTGCAAGTGGGGGAGGAACAGGAATAATGCACACCTGCAGTTGCCGAGCTCCAAACTTTGTTTTCATTAGTCATACTAGAGGGGCGCTATGAGTATTAGAAGATGGGTACAGCTTTTAAAAAACTGCTTACCTAGGAGCCCTGCTGCCTACACATTTCCCCTTAGCTTCAACCGTTTAATCAAGCCATTTAGAAAACGAAGCAAGTTAATGGTGTGTTGGTAATACAGTAAGTAGGCAGCCAACAGATATCCTGGCAGCATAACAATGTACAATCACTACCAGTTAAGCCAAATCCTGTATAATTTTAAATTTGCATGTGTTTCCATTAGTAATGTTACACAATGATCTTTGCTCAAACACAAGTCAATATAAAAGCTCTTTTTCCCCCAGGAAACTTATGCTCAAGATGGGAGGAATTGTGGGTGAGTGGCTTGTTACTTACCAGATAGGCGCTGTCCACTGACATTTTGGCACACCTACTGAAGGCCTTTTAAGTAGGTATTGTTATCCTAGTCTCAATATATGAAATTAATGAGAGATGTTTCCTAATTTGCCAACACATAAGGAAACATTACTCACTGGTTACAAAGTGAATCCAAGATGCTATTTTTGACCTTTAAAAATCGGAAGTTGCCTGAGGCAACTATCACAAGACGCTTCTCTGTATCCCTTGCCATAGATACTGTATTAGATGGATGTTTTCTGGATTTTGTAACAAACCTGGAATATACTCAAAGAGGAATATGGCCAACCCCAATAGTTCTTCAAAGTGGCAATTTCTGAAATGTTGCTTTTTATGATTCTACCAATACCTTTCTGCATCTATAAACCTTCTCAGTTACATTTTATCTGAGATTAGAAATGTTAAGATCCTGTCATGCATCTATAATCCTGGACAAATTTGGTAGGGAGTAAAAACCCTTTGAGCACGTGGTATTTACCAGGGCATAGGATTGCACTGCAAAGGGCATTACATGAAAATGTCAAAAGATGGGAGTTCATAGCTCCCACCCTAGCATTAGGGCATAAATACTCTGGCAGTTAGCCACACTACCATTTTGCATTTTACCAAATTTCGTTCATAGAGAATAACTGAAATAACACAGCAAAGTGAATTTAAAAGTTTACTTTAATTTTGAACCATTTGTATAACTGTTCTCATGAAGCATCTGTATCACAGCAGGCTACAATAACTTTGGATAAAAGGCAACTGGTAAACTGTCCAATACAAGGTTCCATACAACAGTTCTTACTGGCCCCTACCCAGACATCTCCAGATAAGTTTTTGATCAAAAACATGAAATAGATCCACCTGCTTATTTTAAGCATATTAAAAAGGAAACTAATTGGACCATTTCTATTTGTCTAATTTTTATACAAAAAGGCTACACAATGTTACACTTTTCAGAATACGATTAGAGTGATTATGAATTAGTGTTCTACACCATTACTCGATCCTTAAAAATCAGAAATTGCTGTAGCAGGTTCACTATAACTTAAAAACACAGAGACTTAGAAACCCTACAGTTACTGCAAAAAAGAAAACTACTTTAAAAGCAAGCAAGGTCAGTACCATTACAAGAGATTTAAAAATTAAAAAAAGTTTTAAACAAGCAAGGCTAGAGTTTGATAAATTCCATCTTGTGATATTCATTCTTGTGCATTCTTCGTTTCGTGAGTCACTCTCCAAATCCATTTGTTACTCCTCGACCAAAAGGACCAGAACAAAAAGTTTACTTCAGTTGTTCCCATAGGAAACTCAGCTTGGTTAGTGTGTCAGGCACTTTCTGAGATACTAGCCCACCCCTCGAGCCCTCTCAGCAACTCTACAGGCCAATCACAATGCAAGATCATTCAGACAATACAGCTGTGTAGGAGGGAAAAAAATAAATCAGGGTTAAAGAACAGGAATGGTTACTCAGGTTAGAACTGCATCATGACACACCTAAGTAAATCACTCTGACAGACCGTAATCATGAGTCAAGTTGAAAGCAGACACTGCAATTTTGAAACGCGCGTCTGTGACCAACACGAACCAACCCAAAGCCGTTCCCTCCCTGCCAGCCAAATTCTCAGATTGGTAGGTAGGTAGGTGGAGCTTCTTACCTAAAGGACGATTTACAGGTCAGTATCGAACCAGGCCAACTGATTACTGTCACCTGGAGGCAGCCCATCCATAAGGTCCTGGGCATGTCCTAGATCTGGCAGCCCATCAACTGGGTAGTCAGCACCAGGGTGGTGGCCCCCCATGTCATGTTCCATCATTGGGTCCATACCCAAGGCATCCTGACCGTATCCTCCAGAGTGGAAAGAACGGTAGCTAGGATCTAAGAAAGTTAAGGATGGCAGAGGGGAGAAGGGGGGGAAAAGCATGTTAACATGTTAGGCGCACCAGAAGCTCCAAACATCAGTGGGTGAGATTCCATAACCCAGCCACACTGAAGTCACATTTTCTAGCCCGGAAGTTGTATGGACAAAATGGCAAGTCATTAGCATGCTACTATCAGAAGCAGAAGCAAGTTCCAGCCAAGCCATTAGTCTGCATACTGCTGAAAACCCAGAACAGCAATACTATTACAATGCACACAACTGAAATGCAGACTTTAACTAGAAACGCTTATAGCTTGCTTTTACCTGCCCACAAAACAGATGTTTTTATATACAAAAATGCTTTGCATCAGAGAACTTTCGTAGCATTTGAATATGAGGCAATTAATCTAGAATGACTTGGTGAGGTGCTCTCACACAGAGGCTGCTCAACACGTGTTTTGAGTGGCATTGTTCCACGGAACAGCGCAAATAACGAAGGTTCAGTTAAGATGCTACCATCTTGCAGTTCTTCATTAAAGACATTCTGAGTATATTTGGTTTTACTGCAACTGATACATACCATCTGGGCGATAGCCAAGAGGTTCTCCTTGGGCACCAATATCAAGTCCCAGATCTGCAGTCTGTAGGGAATATGCAAAGAATTAAGTCTCTCAGCAGAGGCAGGAAATTAATTCCAGAAGCACCCATCATCTATGAATTTGTTCCAAGAGTTACTTAATGTTATATATGCCTGCACCGATTTGGTTATAAGTACACAACAGTCAGCTCCAGCTATTTTTCTATGTAGCTAGCACATATGAAGCAGACCAAGTTGCCATACCAAGGCTGAGTCCTCTGCAATAGTCTCATTAATAGAAACTTTAATATTGGGAGACTTCTTCTAGTGTATACGACAATCAAGGGTTTAATAGGAACATTATATGGTTTTCGTTAATTTGCCATTAAAAAGGTAAAGCGACCCCTGACCATTAGGTCCAGTCGTGGCCGACTCTGGGGTTGCGGCGCTCATCTTGCTTTACTGACTGAGGGAGCCAGCGTACAGCTTCCAGGTCATGTGGCCAGCATGACTAAGCTGCTTCTGGCGAAACCAGAGCAGCGCATGGAATCGCTGTTTACCTTCTCGCCGGAGCGGTACCTATTGATCTACTTGCACTGTGTGCTTTTGAACTGCTAAGGTTGGCAGGAGCAGGGACCGAGCAACGGGAGTTCACCCCGTCGTGGGGATTCGAACCGCCGACCTTCTGATCGGCAAGCCCTAGGGCTCTGTGGTTTAACCCACAGTGACACCCGCATCCATTAGTGACCTAGCAACACCGAACAGCATTTAGGAATCCAAAGGCTCACTCACACCACAGAACAGTTTTAGGAACACAACTAATTGCTTTTATCTGAAAACTGCTCTGAAACCCACTACAAAAGTCCAAGCTTAATGTTATTGTTTGCTGGCATATGGTGCAATGGGTCAGCGTGTCTGGCTGTTAACCAGGAGGTTGGTGGTTCGAGCCCACCCAGGGACAGGATTCTTGCACTGCAGGGGTTGAACTAGATGACCCTTGGGGTCCCTTTCAACTCCATGATTCAAGGAATACTGTTAGCTGTGTATCTAGCTGTTTAACTGACCTCATTCCAAGCCATTGGTTCAGTCCTGAAGAGGGAGCTCGTCAGTTCAACCGAAAGCCGTTTCTTATAATCTTGTGGTTTATCTTCGGACATCCTAAACAACACTGCAGCTGCGTATGTCGCTGTTCAAGGAGAAGGGAGTTTTAGCAGAGGAATCCAAATACCACCAAGCCCAATTCTCTCTTCCTCCACTTACCCACACCCTCATTCCTAGAATGAAGAAGTTCCGTCAGTGGTGCTGTAGCTCCCTCTGCTTCAATTGCCTCCGCTGCTTCTTTGTCCTGAGCCAATTCACACAGTACACCTGCAGCCACTCTCTGGATGTTCTCGATAGGGGAATACAACAGCTAGAAGGAAAACATCAAGCGGGACAGACATTATAAGGTATGTTGTTTGAGCACAAACTACAAGCATTGTCAAGAAAAACCTCCCTTCCTTAGGCCTTGACCAAAGTTTGGTTCCTGCAGGCCTCTAGGTAGTCAAACTACTTTCTGGTGAGAAATTCAACTTTCACTAATGAGGATGAGATCATGAATTCAGTGCACGTGTGATGTCTGGTACAAGCTGGGTTCCAAGGCCGCTGACACCTCAACTAAGTGGACCAGATGCCTTCCGTTATTTACCATATTTTTCGCTCTATAAGACGCACCAGACCACAAGACGTACCTAGTTTTTGGAGGAGGAAAACAACAACAAAAATTTTCTGAATCTCAGAAGCCAGAACAGCAAGAGGGATTGCTACGTAGTGAAAACAGCAATCCCTCTTGCTGTTCTGGCTTCTGGGATAGCTGCGCAGCCTGCATTCGCTCCATAAGACGCACACACATTTCCCCTTACTTTTTAGGAGGGAAAAAGTGAGTCTTCTAGAGCAAAAAATACAGTATTTTTTCTGGAAAATTACAGCGAGTCTGATGGTCCTGAAAGTGAGCAAAGGTAAATATCCAGCCCCTGTTTTTCTGGGCAGTGGGCACATTACTACATGAATGTAGTAAGACCCTCCTTAGTTTTAGAGATTCTTGGGCACCATACAGTCACATTTTCAACTTTTAAAAAAAAGGTCTCAGGAAGCCAAATTCTGCACACAATGCCAAATTCTTTATTTCTATGCAAATATATGGTGTATTGACTAAAACTCTGCCAATACTGTGCTCAGATAAGGCTGCAGCTAGAAAATAACTGGGCAGTTTCTAAAAATTGTTTCCCACACCCTTCCATAAGATCACAACTCTTCCAAGTATTTTCTTGCTCAGAAACTTTACCTACCTGCACAAATAGTGGAATGGTGTTTAGACCCCTAATTACAATTCGATTGTGGACATCTCTAGCCAGGATATGAAGGGCTCCAGTGCAACCTTCAACTATTTCTTCCATACGAACACCCTCCTGCACAAGAAACATTATGGGGGGAGATTAATTACTACACAGGTATTAGTTACAGAAATCCTGACAAATCAAACATGCCTTTGATACCTAGTCTGCATTGGCATATTTGTAGTGTTTGTTCAGTGAGCAGTCAAGTTTTGCAAGTGCAGAGATAAAAGAGTTAAAACCACCTTTATAGTGGAATAATGTGTCCCTGAATAGCAGGTACGGCAATAAGTTTAGTGAACACTTACAGACGTCTACCAGTAAGTTCTTCCTGTCTGCCATTACAGAATCAGCCTCTGCAGTAAGCCGCCTACAGTATTTTAACACAATAGCAGGAAAAGCAAGACAAGTAGTTGCATTATTTGAAGCTTTTGGTTAGACAAAGGAGATCCTGCTGCACTTATTTCTGTCATTCTTCATTAAGAGTCACATACCACAAACTGTTGCTGTGTGCCACCCATTGACGTACGGCGTTGGGTGTCTTGATGTGCTCTAACCAGCAGCTGGACTAGTCTTGGAATAGCACCTTGTTCACGCAATGGAGCATGATTTGCTGGACAGAGAGCAAGATTGCGGATCAGACCAACGGTAGCCTGAAATTACAAGGAAGGCCATTAGAAAGTTTAAGACATCCTGCAAGGCACTCAAAACCTCGCTTCAGCATTTGAAAGTCCAACTGGAACTATTGTTTTGGATTCCCTCCATCTTCTCCCACCCCCAAAGACAGGATTATACTTTGAATTCTGTTACCTTGATAAGAGGCCAGTGAGATGGCGGATGCAGGAGTTTGACCACCACTGGAAGTCCATAATGGAGACGCACTGCATTCTGCGCCATCTCAGCTTCTTGGTGCCGACTAGTGAGGTGACGGAGCGCACAGATAGCTGGCTCGGTGATATCTTCCCTGTCACCAGCCCGGAGAACTGTACGCACAAGAGCCTCAATGCCACCCACTTGGCACACCATCATTTTATTCTTGTAGTTGTTGCAAGTAAGGTTAGACAGGATACCAGCTGCACAGGTTACAACGTTGATGTCGTCTGACCCTAATAGCTGCACAAGGGTTCCCAGTAGACCCTCCATACCTTCCTGTAAGAAGAGAGCATGCATTAACACCAGCTTCTTTGTACCTGGCCGTTTATTAATGCCAAGTTTCTGTAAGAGCTACTTTTACTATCTCACCTTCCTATCTGTGGGTTGTATTAATCCAGATAGGAAATTTAAAGGGATGGCTGATCGCAGATTAACAGGGCTTCTCAGCAAAGTACACAACAATGAAAAGGACCAAGGTAGATCCATTCTAGCAACACTGATTACCAGAAACTTTCTTCCTCCTGTAGCATCTGCTTATACAATGGGAAGCCTTAAAAAGGCCCTTTTGATCGAGCCCTCAACTAAATGTGAAAGGATTCCCCAGAGGTGACTAGCGTTCTTCCCAATGACGATTTGTTCTCCAACTAAGGGTACAGATGAAAAGCACAGCTCCACCTACCACATTCTCATTAGCATGTAACTAACCCTCTCCAAGGCTAAAATTGAGGGGGGAATAAGTGAACCCTTAAGAGTTTAACACGTAGAACTGGCACTTTGAAAAACAGAAACATGAACAGCTCACCCAAAATATGGGATGAGGCAAGAGCATTAGCTGAACCAGCAGTGCAATCATTAGAAAGCATCTCTCTTCATCTGTTTCTATATTTTTCCCACATTTGATTTAAAACAATCTTGGGGAAGTATTTGCATATCCATAGGCAGAATTTAATTTACACTAGCCTGGAATATGCTTCATTAAAGGACAGCATATAATTTTAAATAAGAACACTGTAAAAATGAGGAAGCCAGGCAGGCACCTCAAATTCCTCACTCATTTCAGTCTGTCATAAGAATTCCTCACCTGGACACAACATCATTATTTCTTAGATCATCTCTTCCATGCCCCCACTAACAAATGGTTGTTGCAATATACCTCTATCTTGTGTTAATCAGCATAGCATCCCTATGCTTCAATACTAGTCTCATGGCTCTGTAATTCAGGGGCCAGGCAACATGCAACCCATGGTTTACTGCAAGGAGCATGCACGGTTCAGGCTCATGCATGCTCCTCAGTTTATTCATGGTGACTTTTATCAACCTAGCTTGACACTTGGGAACACTTTATAGCTTTGGCGTTTATGATAACCTTTTAAGTTCTTGTTCCTTACCTGCTTAGTTGCAGCATCCGAAAGATTTCTAAGAGTCCAGAGACAATTCTGAACAAGCCGCTGGCTTGGATCTGTAAGGTGGAGTCCCAAAGCCTGCATCCCACCTAAAGAACAGTTAGGTATATTAGGTTCCACATCATCATGTATCCTTCTTCCAACCTCAAGTCTTTACATGGGACATTCAGTCTTTCACTTCAAAGTACCACACATGTGCCCGATTGCTGTTCTGAATTTTCCTCACTTTTAAACCATCTAACTCTTCTGACAACCATGTTTCATTTCAGAGCTAAGCTTTAAGCCACTGAATGAGGACACATTCTCTCTCTCTCTCTCTCTCTCTCACACACACACACACACACACACACACACACGTGTGGCCAGAATCACAGTGTACTTCTGATTTTATTACCTCTTCAGGATTCAGACACATTAACCCATCCACCAGTTTAGAAAGTCATGAGATCTCTATAATTATACAGTAGTTGGGAAATGAAACCCATTTTAAAGTGGCATGGCATCATCTAACTTTTGTTTGACTTCTATGTGGCACTTTAGTTAAAAGTACTATCTAGCAATAATTGTCTAAACACGAAGCATTCCAATTGATTTGAAACACCTCCCATATCCATAAGCTTTGGCACAGAGGCAACACAAAATGTGATAGTGTTGCCATAAAAGAGATACTTACCAGCCTCTACAATTGCCGGTTTGTTACTAGAGCAGACTGACAGCACCTTTAGCACTCTACTTGTGGTCCACAGTAGTTTCTCATAGGTGTAGGTCCTCATTATGTTTACTAGAGCCTGGGGCCCACCACTGGCCAGAATGATAAGCTGCAAAAAGTTTAAAAATAAAATAAAAAACAAAGCAGTAATTACTCATTTCATTTGTATCCTACCTCTACTCCTAATAACTATTTATTTAAAATATTTATAACCTGCCTTTCATCTATATAGATACCAGGGTGAGAGACAACCAACTTTGCAATAAATTTAATTTAAAAATCCATGGATAGGGGCAGCTAAAATTAAAGAAATACGGAAGAAGAACATCTAACAGTAAGACCTTCTGGGTGCCCCACAAAGAAGACCCTTGGAAGATGCAGCAAGTCACCAAGTGGGCTTTGGATGGCTGTGGCAATTTGAGACTGGGTTTCGCCAGCCCAACACTAACCACTATGCCATGTGGGCTCTTTTGACATTTGTGCCATTCCCTGCCTGCACAGACATATTGGATTCTTGATCACTAAAAGAACTATGGAAGGTGTTTTTTCCTCTGTTTACTGCTTGTGTTTCTGAGCTGCCAGACTACCACATTTACGCAAATCTAATGCGCACCCTAATTTTTGCATCGTGATTTGGCCAAAAAAAAGGTACGTGTTACATTTGAGTAAATACAGTACTATTTGTTCTTTGCATACTCAAAACACTTTAAAATGCTTTGATCGTTACCTTGCTTTCTTGGTTGCCATATGCAAGAATCTGCAGGCAGTCTGTTGTGATGGCCAAAAACTTAACATTTGTCTTGTTGAGCAAGGCAACCATTTTCTGCAAACCACCAGCTAGACGAACAGCCATTTTGGCGCCTTCTTGATGCAAGAGAAGATTATGCAGAGTAGTAATGGCGTAGAAGAGCACAGAATCCACGGGAGAACTATGAAGAAAGTTTAGGTTAGCAAACTTCCAGTCCAAGGCTGACAGATGTTGGAAAGGTGTGTCATGTCAACGATCTACATACCCCAGCATCTTAACAAGAGCAGGAATCCCTCCTGATTTGAAGATTGCCAGCAAGCCTTCACGGTGATGAGAGAGGTTGTGTAGTGTACCCGCAGTACAACGGGCTGTTTCCACATCATTTGTATTCTGCATAGTACGCACAATGGCAGAAACCATTTGAGGAGAGCGCATTATAGCATGGCGGGAGGCTTCCTTTTTGGACAACTGATGAACCATAACTGCAGCCTTGTTCACCACCACCTACAGAAGGCATTTGAAAGTGTTACTTGTTTTGATGTTCATGAACTTTTCAAGGTATGGTAAGATCACTAAAACACTTTAAACACAGGAAAACTATGAACGCTGGAGGCACAATTCCAATGTGAAACAGCACAGCCCAACTCAAGTGTCCCTTGTGGGGCTCACGGAAAAAGACTCCTTACTTACATGCCAATAATTACATGCACATTACCTGGTCCTCATCGTTCAAGAGTTTGGTCAGTTCTGGGATGGCCCGAGTTGCAAGTTCTGCATCATCTTGGTAGTTTATCAAGTTAACCACAGCATGTTTTAACATCTGGGATGGTTCAGCCAGGCGTTGCACATTTGTTGGGTGAGCAGCATCAAACTGTGTTGATGGGATCTGCATGCCTTCGTCCAATGTTTCTGGGAACATGGCGGCACGCACCCTCTGTGCTCTCGTCATAGCATACTGTCCATCAATATCTGGAACAGGAGCAAGCATTTTTTTTAGCAACTTGACTGACAAGGAGGTAGGCAGTTATTTAGGTAATAAGACTGTACTTACCAGCAACCTGTTCCTGAGTGAAGGACTGAGAGAATCCCTGTTCCCACTCATATAGAACTTGGGTGGTATCAACATCTTCCTCTTCAGGGTTTCCCTTGCCACTCAGAGAGGGAGCCGTTGTTGTGGCACCAGAGTGGATACCAGAATCCAGGTATGATTGTTGCTGCCAGTGGCTGACAGCTGCTTTTCTATCTGGCTCCATCGCCATGTCCAACTCCATCAAGTCAGCTGCAAGAGATGGTTAACAATGAGTTTGCTTCAACATTACACGTTATTTGTAATCCTGGATTCGGACAAATACAAGTTATCTACACTACGCGTTTATAATGGTCACCCCATTTAAGATCTGCTGGAGAGGCTCTTCTTTATATCACACACCAGAAGAGTGATTGGTTAGGAGACAAGAGCCTTAGTCGAGGAAATCCCGTTTAAGAGAATTCCACATTACCCCTTCCTTGCTGTTTGTTTCGCCACTATTGTGGAAACCTTTTTGTTTCAACAAGCCCTTCAAGCTCACACTTTCATACTCCTTCATCTGAGCTTTTATCTGCAGCCCCACAATTCAAGTTTTCCATCTGACGCCTACTGGCCATGATCCATAAGCATTCAAATATTTACTGATCTCTTCTTGCCATTCATTATTTTTGTTTTACAAACACATTAAATTCTAGAAACAAAAAAACCCTGAAATTTGATTAACATTATTGTTCTTCCTGTAACAATATTGTTCTTCCTGTAAGTACAGGCTAACTAAATGTCTGTTGGGCAGGGAGAAAAGACTGGGATTTTGGAGTCGTGTCAAGCCCACTCAGAAGCCTGCAACTCTATCACTTTCTGTTCAAAGTAAACCTAAAATCAGAATACAGTGAAACCACCAGAACAGGCCAACTCCATGCAGCCTTAATTCCCTGGACACATAGAGCTGCTATTTGCCAAGTCTTGAGAATTTATGCCCACACCCAGCAAGATCAGAGTTGAAATAATCACAATCAGCCATCAGTAACTTGATGGCTACACAAAAGACACACCTTGGGTTGCCATGATCCTTGATGTGCTCCCAGAACTGTGGTCTACTGCACTTCAGACCCTAAAATACAACAAAATATATAGTTAAGGGATTTGTTGGCTTTAGGTTTCAATAGTAGGATCTAAGGTACAATTCCACTAAGTAATGAGACATAGCTTTGCTAAAGAAACTAGCATAATTTAATATTTGTAGGCCATCCTATACTCTGAGCTTGGCCCTGTCAGCAAATAGCAATTTGAGGAACTGCCTCTCTAGAAATTTTATGTGGGAACAGTGGACTTCAGCTGTTTAAACTGTGCCTTAACCTGAGCATTTGGAATAAATGCAAATAATACAATACCAATACACACCCAGCTACTTCCTTCCAAAGGAAACCAAACCCAGGCATAAACTACACATCTGGATCTTCTTATTGCTCATTTAAGTGCAGTGAACATTAACGCTGTTGTTAGAAGATTGTGTTTCCTTGCAGGGAAACTGTGAGCTGCTGTTAATGAACTACAGCAGAGAAAGTAACTGCCACACTCCTAGCCCAAATGTTATTGGGTGATGGAGGCCTTGCGACAGCAACTCAAAGGTGACCTTGAGAACAATGCAACTGCTAGGCTATGACCTATGATCTAAAGATTAGTTTCTATGAAGTTGAATGAAGGAGTTGCATCTTTGCTAGGTCAGGGAAATCTTTGAAATAGAGCAGCAATAGGGAAGCTCAGGCTAGGGGCCAAATGTAGCCCTCCTGGCTTCTCTACCTGGCCCTCAGAACTCTGCCCAGGCCACACAAAGCCACAGCCCCCAAGGGCTCTGCTTCGCACTTGGTAGTATTTCCTTGAACTCAAATAATGCTTCATCTGAATTATACACGTGGAAGCCCAGCAAATAAAAGCAGGAGAAATTCGCTTTCCCCCCACAGACTTTTATGAAAAATAGAAAAAACTGGATTGTTTTAAGACAAGGTATGCATATATTTAGGCCCCCCCAAATGTTTATGCAAGTCTGTGTACAGTATCGGATCATAATATTTCTGTACACAGAGCACAAACAAATCCTAAACTGTACACAAAAAGTACACCTCTAAAATGTAAGAGCAAGATGCTTTCTGCCTCTTGGAGGGCACTGTCATTGTCGCAAGAGAAGGAAGAATGATTCACTGCCTTCTTTGTTTGTGGCCTTCTTGTTGACATAGGTAGTGGACCTGTCTCTGTCCTGTCCTCTGGACTAGCTTAGTTTAATCTGAGCAAATCATCCATTTTTAGAACTGCAATACGAAGGAAGAAACGGAAAGTGATAACTTAGAAAAGGAGACCGATTGAATTTCATGTGGTGTTCATTGAGGTTTGTTCCCCCCTGTTTTTATGGAAATGAGTGTTTTATGTTTGCTTGAAACTGCGGGAGAATTGGAGGAGACATGATAATTTTCAAAATAATGATTTGTTTTACTGTAATGTTGATGGCTCCTGTTTCTATTGTGACTTTGCCTGCTCCTCAAACTAGCAAAAGCAGAGGTGCTAGCTTCCTTATACGCTAAGCTGTAATAAAAACTTATTTTTTAAAAAAAAACAATGTGAAATTATTTTCTGAAAAAACTGTACTTTTAAAACATGAGACACAATAATCCTACAGTAAACCAAGCTATACATAATGCATGTTATGTTCCTACAGTAACAAATTGACTTTCAATATGTAGAATGCTTTTTTTAAAAAAGTATTGCATTTTTTTCAGTTCCCTCTCCCCTCCACAAAAAAAACAGCGAGAAAAGCATACACACACCCTCGCCCACCACCCTCAAAATATCTCAAAATTTTACAACTCTAGTCTTGATAGAAAGATGTGTGTGTATAAACTAGCCTACTGTAAAAAGATAAAATCTGTGCTTACTGCTTGGGCCCACCACTGGCACGCACATGCTGGCAAGAAGGCAATCTGGTTCAGGGTGGAAAAGATTCCCCAGCTCCGAATTAAGAGTAGCAACTGACAAGAGTCAGTGATAAAGATCACATAAGGGTTAAGCCTATATACTCCAATACATCTGGATACACACTTACCAACATAGCTTTCCGGCAAGATACAATTATGCCCTCAACTTTGTCCTGGATGAAAAGGCCAAACAGTGTTTCTTCTGTTTGCTGCCTTCCCTCCCCCACATACCAATTTAAGACTATCACCTGCAATCCCTTTTGCAAAACTATAGTGGTACCTCGGGTTACATACGCTCCAGGTTACAGACTCCGCTAACCCAGAAATAGTGCTTCAGGTTAAGAACTTTGCTTCAGGGTGAGAACAGAAATTGTGCTCCGGCGGCGCGGCAGCAGCAGGAGGCCCCATTAGCTAAAGTGGTGCTTCAGGTTAAGAACAGTTTCAGGTTAAGAACGGACCTCCGGAACGAATTAAGTACTTAACTCGAGGTACCACTGTACTGGCATTTGTGGAAGTATGCCATGTAACAGGAGCCAAAGGAGTGAGATTTATGGAGATGCAACCATTAACTTAAGTTCAGTTGTAATACAGGTGACTCTCAACTTATGTGGGGGTTACATTCCAGGAATAGTGGCTAAGGCCAAAACTGTGCATGGTCAAAACACATTGGGTTCAGTGGTGGGTGGGATTGCCAAAGTTTTTCTTCCTGGATACCGAGCCCCTTTTGATTTTTTTAAGCAAAGCACGTAAAGCTGAATGAGCACAAATTAAAAGGCACGTAAGTTGAGAGTTACCTGTACAACTCCAGCATTTTTAGAGTTGAATATTTTCTTGTTGGTGAATGTGCTATGTAGTCTTCCTGCTTCATATCAAGCAATACTAGTTTACTTGCTGCATAACTAGTTCTGCAAGCTTGCGATTAAATGCTAAACATTTCTTTTCCTAATCTGTTGTGCTGGGTAGAGCCCCCTTCAAAAGAAATCCCTCACTGCTTCATTAAGTGTGGAAACCTGGTATCTGGAAGGAAGTGGTCAGACCTACTTATATTTGGGCTTGTTCAGTGCTCACCCTTCAGGATGCCAACCAACAAGGTTAATGAAATATAATGGATGTATTCACACATGCTAGAACGGTGGTTTAATAGTGTAACACACCTTCATGGAACTGTCTGGTAGTTCAAGTGAAGGAGGACTGCAGCTATCCTGTAAGTTTAAACAGAGATCAAAGTGTCTACATAGATGCTCTGGAGATGTCCTGTGCACTGTGCAAAATCACTGCTATGAATACAACTATGAATACCAAGCTGTTTCAAAGGAATTTAAAATCTGGTTCTATCACGCAGACATTATTTCTGCCGTAGGGTTAGACAAGTTTGCAGAAGTTTTGCTTTGTCTGGGAATCATATTTCCTTAGCATGAATATCCATTTGTTTTTCTAAGGCTCCAGTCTGTTTCAGCCCCCACCCCAGATGTGCAAGTAAGGTTAGTACAAAATAATTTTGTATACATTATAGAATTTTGTATACATTATAGAACTGCATGTATGGTTCCAACAGATAACTATAATTTCAAAATACATTTATCCCTTCTCCCTACACACCACCTCTTCAGGTACCAATTTTTGCTATGGCTTGTATACATTGTTATAAGCTGTTCTCAAATATATACATATATATATACATATATGTATGTATGTATGTGTGTGTGTGTGTGTGTATATATATATATATATATATATATATGTCATTCATCAATTTTGAAACATTTCCTTCTGATACCTCTTGAGTAAACACTTTGCCTGAGAAAAACAGATCTTGCTTCCTTCCGAGACAACATACACACATTTCTCCCTAACATAGCCAACAGGTTTTAAGACAGGTTTCTTCCCCTTCTATTTTACTAGCTATTACTGAATGTACATCCATGTTTTGCTTCAGAAATCAACAATTCAAAATCTAATGTGCTCCGATGAAATTTAGTTGTTCCAATGAACAGCTTATTAGCCACTTCACTAACCTACAGTCACAAAAGCACATGCCTCTAATGTTCTCTTATAAATAAGACTCTCCAGCAGAAAAACTGAAATTGTTTTCAATCTAGTTGTGAACTCAAGTAATAAAATGTTTACAAGTCTTAATAGCATATTCAAAAGAATCAAAACTGATGAGCCCAGGGTACTTTAACAAGACTCAACAAAATTTGTTGTTGATCAGGCAGATATCCTGACTGAAGCAGTAGCCTAAACACTTTCAGTGCAAAGCAGTCAGTTACATTTAGGAACACTTCTAATGCAGGCGTAGCCAACCTTTTAGAGCCCATGGGCACATCTGCAAAGTACAGAAACTGTCAAGGGGACCACACACACAGCAACCAAGCACATGCCACAACCTGTTCTACTGGCTATAATAAAGCTTAGTTTCAGCAGGGAGGGGAAATCCTTTGGGCACATGCATGCCTTGGGCGCCATGTTGGCAACCCAATGCATGAAAATATATTAATGAAATTACGGTACATTTGTTTTACTTGTATTCACTTTATAGCAAGAAGGATGCTACTCTGTAATGTGGGAGTCATAGCTTCAACAAATCTTTTTATGCGATTATATTAGCTCATATTAGCACCTTTCAGGTTCTTAACCCAAGACAGGTGATTAATGAAATCCATATCAGATGGCGTATAATGGAACACAAGCAGACTAATGAAGCTTTACCAGACAAGACATACAGGCAGAGCAACTTGCATCAAAGAACCAGTGCACACAGCAGTACTGCAAGGTTTGTTTTTTGGTGTGTTTTAATGCAGATAATATTGGACTCACTAGTCTGATGGGTGGCAGGCAATCTGTGACTGCAATGTCCCATTCTTCGTATGGACAGGTGTGGACACCAGCCAGTTCAATATGCAGACCCCTTTTTCAGTAGCGTTTTGCAAGCTATGAAGTTCTTAATTAAAGACTTAATGCTCATATGTGTGTATATACATAGAGACACATAGAAAGAGTCTGGGTTATACCACCAACCTTATTTTCTTAAGAGTAGAGCACAGACTTCCTAAATTTTGGTGGAAAACATTTTTGCAGATGAGCAGATGAATTTGTTCTACAGGCCTAACAATATGCACCTATCAACCAGATTATCTAAAAACTTGTACCTAAGTGCACTTTTGGGCTCTTAGCACAACCCATAATATTAATGCAAGCATGTGTTTACACAGCTTCACCAAAGGAGAGGCAATTATAAAATACTAATGGAATAAGCAATACTAGTAGCATCAAATAACGAACTTCTGTAGAGTGCTAAAGTGTTTAATTCACAATGCATAATCAGTATTTCCCTCCACATAAGATTAGGACTGAGGCAGAGAGAGTAGTTTCCTAAAGGCCACCTAGTGAGCTCATAACAGAGGCAAGATGACAACTTAGAAGTGGGAACTTATCAAATTCATAACTCAGTCTCTTTATCCGTTACACTACAGCAGCTCTATTTTATTGTTTTATTAAACAAAATTTATATACCATTTGATTGTAAAAACCTCTAGGCAGTATACAAAATATGCTCTGGAAATACTCTCAATTCAGGAGTCAATATAAAATTAGACAGCCATAGTTTTAAGAAAACAAGAGTTTTATCATTTAACCATTTCCTGGGGCAAAAGCAGAGATACCTGTTACAACAAACAGGTTTTTCGCTTACATATCTGTTTCGAAAATTAAAACTACACTGGCAACGCTGTCCACTTTAGAATAGCTACTGCTATTCTAGGGTGCAAGGGAAATGAAGTCTGATGGTTTGTGGTATTGTGGTTTAATGCATCTACAGCAGGCTCAAATTTTGAACTTCTATCCTACGCGCAAATAACCTTATGTAAACTGCGGGAGGCAGCGGAAGACAGGAGTGCCTGGCGTGCTCTGGTCCATGGGGTCACGAAGAGTCGGACACGACTAAACAACAACAACAAATTGCATTTCTATTACAAGTCCACTAATTAAGCAGCTGCTTATATGTACATACAGCCTTGCAAGTTACAGCCCACTTGTCTGTGTGTGTGTTATTTGGCATAAAAAGCAGTATCTTTAAAGCATGCCCATCTGGTGCAAATTCCAACAGGCACAAGCTATTTAAAAGCCTCTTTTCAGGCTCAGGATCAACCCGGGACAAAATGTAATGCAAGCACAGATTTAAAAAAACCTACCCTCTAGCACTGCTAGCAAGGGACAATTCTAGCTTCTAGTCCATCCCAAAACAAATGACACCTAAATTGACTCAGAACCATCTAGTCACCTATGTATTCCTCTAGGTTTCTTCTTAATTTTGTTACTGACTCAGAATGGGGCACGAACTAAGTAAGCATTCTTCTCTAGGACTGATGCCTTTCCAGCCAAAGCTAAATAGGTGCTCATGGCGCACTCTTCCAAAGACAGAAGTTACAAGAATGGCCAAATGGGAGCTGCTTTTGCTGCTTGGTCCCTGAAAGCTACATGGATTAAAGCTTTTTCTCTTAAAATTTGCAACTTTTTTTCTTTTATGCAGAAATCTGAATGTCTCGAATGTTGATAGCAAATTCCAGAACCATATCTGCAATCTTTAGTGCATGCTACTAGTACAATCACACTTGGAACAGTATGGGTTGCTCTGTAAACTTACACAAAATATGTATGACGGCACCAGGCAAGCCTTCTAGGAGAGAGCATTTCACAAGCGGGAGCCACCACTGAAAAGGTCTGTTCTTGTGTTGCCACCTTCCAGATCTCCCATGGAGGAGACAGACAAAGGAGGGCCTCAGATGATCACAGTGTCCAGGTTGGCCCATATGGGGAGTGGCGGTCCATGATGTATTGGGATCCTGAGACACGCAGGACTTAACAGATCAAAATCAACTTTGTTCTGGGCCTGGATTGTGCTGAAACCACCTCGCCCCACTTAGCAACCTGACCACTGAATTCTGTCCCAGCTGCAGTTTCCAAACAATCTTCACAAGCAGCTCAATATAAAAGGCATTCAATAAGACTACTACTATTACTTTATTTTAAAGTCTTTATTTATACTTGTTTACAAGGTCTGAAAATTACATACCTGTTCTTAGGCTGGTCTACCCACTACTAGCAGGGAAGAAAGACTGCATGCTGCTTATGTCAGTGAATCAGCTGAGTATCTTACTCTAAACAGGCATTTTTCAAATATTCACTGACCGACACAGTTTATACACCTGACTGAGGTACCGTGCCATAATCCTTTTCTTCACTCTCTGAAAATAGAACTATGTGCCATATAAAAAAGCTTTAGAAAAATTTACAATAACCTGGCAGCATTCAGATAAATAAATTTGACTCAGGCACCTCCATAATTCTTTCAGCACTATGAACTGCAGTGTTGCTGTGTTGAATCTTGAAACTTAAAAGCTCCAAGACCTCAGTGAAAATTTGTTCTGCCATTTGGAGAAGTGAAAAAAATGTTACTACATATTCAGTTACTATCATATGCAGGTGAAAGTTTACTATTACTCCAGTGACTCACTAATTTCTATTACAGTGCTTCAAAGAAAGCAAGTTTATCTAGCCTCAACATCACCATGTTTAAACTTGCAGTATTAGTTGTCTAGGAGTAGGTTTCATTCCCCCCACACTTACATGTAACTTAACAAATAATTATTTTCCTGTTGTAGGAGTAATAAATATTTACTGAATACTTCTGAAACACCAAAATAAGAGTCCTTTCCAGACAATTAACTTGCACTGGAAATATTAGTTTTCCTTCTCCCAAGCTAGAGCTTTAGTTGAAGCAATATTTGGTTTTAAACAGCAAACGGCAGGTGTTTTTGTTCCTCATACACATACTGCTTCCACTACATTATGCAAGTGCAAAATAGAATGATTAAACACTCCTTTTCCCTATCCTCCTGAGAATTCAAGGTTGCATTTTCTCCCCTCTCCTTTTATTAGAAGCCGTGTGCAGTCTCTGGTGTACTGTTCTAGCTCTCCCCCAAGTGAAAAACTGGTGAACACTAACAAAACTATGCCCTTACTTGCATTCTTTTTCTTTTAATTTACTTTAATATTACACTCAACAAGCTCTGCAGTGTATACTGTTTAAAGAGCAAAACCTAAGACACCAAGGAAATTTCCCTCACAGAAACACTGCCCAATTCTAACTACCACCAGCCCATCACATGGGAACATGTTAGCCCAAACAGGTCCAAAATTTTAATACTAAAATTACAAAAGAACCCAGAGTACCTTAAAAAAATTTTTTTTAATGACCAGAAATAAAACCTGATTTTTAAATGAAACTATTGCAACTAGAGAGGGTGCTCACATGCAGGTATCCATTCAGACAATTTGCTCAGAGGGTCTGAATAGGCTAGCTGCAACTGAAGTTGGGAATATAATTTTCAACTCCAATTACTTAAGGACAACTTCTCCTCTAACAAACTATCAAATTGTCTAGTGTTATCAGCTAAATTGTTTTCCTCCTACAGGGGAAGTGCAGTATCACAGGGTGAAGAACTTTAGCAGGCCACAGAAGTTAGCCAGCCTTCCTGCAGGTAATAAATTACAGGAGAAGATGGTCACTTCCACATCATCCACATGGTTACTTCTGATGTTGTGCCATTCATGCATACCAGCATTAACATTTAAGTAGCAACATTCTATCAAGCAGACCTGTTTGAGCATAGTAGTTTCTACTATGTCAGTGTGTGAGTTGGATGCACCTTAAGTTCTGTCTATACACAGCCAGATGGGCAGGGTATGTATGTATGTATAAAAAAAATATTATCATCATCATCATACCCAGTTTAATATATTCTTATAAGAAACTCAACTAAGTGAAAGAAGAAAGCCGCTAAGCCTGGTTTGGGGCAGGGGGTTAAAAAAAAAATCACACTTGCTTGACGGAAGGTATACTATGCAGTGTGCACGTTTCTAGATTTGTTTTTCATAAAGCAGGATACATTCATTGGGGGTTTTCTTCAGAAAAATTCATGTTAAAAGTAGATCCTGCAATGGGAAGCAATGGTTAACTGTAGGTTCCTGATTTGCTTTCCTGTTCTCACAAAGTGGAAACAGAAATGCTTACGTGTAGGTGCATGGTGCTTATTAAGTTAGGATCCGATTGTGCAAACTAGGCCCATGTCTTCTTGGGGAAGAGAAACCAAGTCCAATAACTTAATACACTTCAGGGATGTTGGAAAAAATCTTGGTCAGGGAAGTTCTTAAGCAGTTGACAACTACTTAAGTTCTTGGTCTGCCTAGTTACTGCAGAAACTTTCTGTGATATATTGAATTTATGACAGGCTAGAGAGCCAGTTCATAGTAAGAGGCCCTTCATGGAAAGATGGCTGCATGAGTGTAAGCGGTTTGATGCTAAATGAAGCCAATAGACCAGTTAATGCTTTATCTATCAAGATTTCTATTCCAACTGGAGAAATAACCAATGATGCCTCACTAACAGACCATAAACTCCCCTCTACTTTGCAATGCAGACCAGAGAACTTATGGATGTTCAGCACAGCTGTATTATTTTGAAACATTGTTCAGATAACTTTCTGGAGTCTATATGCTAAAATTTTAATTCACTATTTAAGAACTAACTCGTGGCATTTGTCATGTTACAGTTGTACCAACTTCTTGCTAATTAAACACACATCACTGATCAATTCTTGGCTGAGTCAGGCCGGGCATGCTACACTCATTCCCTCACTACCCCCACAAAAAAACCCGTATGATTGCCTTCAGCAAGCTTATACATTTCTAACTCTCATAATTCCTATCTTAGATCCTCACCTGATTTAAGACCATCTCAAATTATGTATGCCTGCAGAACTGAATGTGCATGCAGGAAGTATGTTTCTGACAATACAAAAATACTGTCATGCTGCAAAGAACTAGAATATGATGCAACCAACAACACATGGACATGCAGTGAAATACCTCTACATGTTTCAAGGCTGAAGTTCCGATGGATGGATGTGTTAGTATCTTCCTATAAAACCAACAGGAATTCTGGAATAGCAAGTTCTTTAAATTTGCCAACACTGCTACTATGAAGTTTCTCCTCTTCCTCTTTTAGGACTTCCACTCAGAATCTGCTGTTCCAGTAAGCTCTTACACTACAGTTCCACCTACAGCCTTTAATTACTGACCATCCCAGTTTAACATGCAACTACTTGCTAAAGACACCAAGAGCGTTTTAGTGGAACATTATATCCCTCAACTTGTGTCATAAATATTCATTACTTTATCATAAAAGTATTTCGAATGTCACCATTCTGCCTTTATTTCCAATTTATTGTTGACAACTGGTTAAGCTACCTATGCATCAACTTTATGGTAAGATGTTTAGGAATGGAATTACCAACTATAATGAGGCATTCAAACTCAGGACAGCTGTACTTTCCTGTTACAAACCCTAACAGACAGGTTTAAAGTTAAAACTCAACTTAACAATAGGAAGCTAGGATTGGCCTAGATTAAACACCTGTTAGAAACAAATATCCAAGAATTATTACGCAAAATTACTGACACCCTAATATCTTGCATTTAATTTTGTCAAGCCCCATCTTGCAAGTATTTTAGATCAGTTGTTTAAAGCACAATTGTTTATTAGCTATGCATGCTTTTTAAAATATTTATATTTCTTGCATATTAAACTACTGACCTATAGAGTACTAGTACTGTACTTTACTTTCCCAATTAAGTTATGAATTAGTTCATAAGACTTACCCCACCTAAGAACCAATATGCGATATTATCCCCCCCAACACCAAACATTTTTAGGAATCTGTAATTTGAACATTGTGTTTGCAAAGCTCTACTGACAACTATTATTAACTAAATGTCTAGCCCAGCTTTTCACAATACTGTATAAATGTCTACATTCATTAAGGTTCAATATATAGGCCTGGAAGCATGACTTTATAGAAAGCATACTCACATGGCAGTATACACATCTGATCACCATACTAGCTATCCTACTATCCACTATAAACTTGTTCATGCTAACCACAATCTGCTTCAAAAGCTGAAATGCCACACTAATGCTTAAAATCCATCACCTAACTTTTTAATCCTCCCAGAAAAGAGCAGCAAGTGTAACCCAGATGTACCATATGGCGCCCTTTTGGTACATGCAGTATTGGCTGTTGGAAAGAGCAGGGCAGAGCTGCAAATTTAGATTCAAATACCAGCTGTGCCATAACTGCTTGCTCTCACCTGAATTACTACAAACAATAACAATTATTCTTTAGGTAAAGATTTTTGCAGCATTTAGGGTTTTATCAAAATAAATTAAGTTCCCCATTTTTCCAATGCAGGAATCACTTTACGTATGAAACAGCTCACTTATGTTATGCATAAACCCACATAGGTTTGTTATGCAGAATGAAGTGAAGGTATACATATGGAATTGCAGTGATTTCTTCATATATGTTATTTCTACAGAAGCAAAGCAGCCTTTTTCCTTTTGAAGTTATACAAAATCGGATCAAAAGTTGTCAACATTAGACCACAGAAGCTTGTATGAGGGCTAGAAGTTTCAGAAACGTAGATGGCAACATCTATAGTCTTTAAGCACAGTGACTAGGCACTTAATATTTGCTCAATTTATAACAAGCTCATAGTTTTTTTAAATGGGGACAATTCAGTATGGTAGCCAAGAAAATCCCAACTCAACTTTCATTCCCAAACAAATTAGATCTCATGGACTATCAATGCAAAGGTACAAGAATTTGAAGTTATATACAGGTAATGACTGCCAACACAGTTGTTACAGAGTACCACACGACATTCCACTCAGAATGCACTTCTTAAAATATTAGCCTCAATACCCAGATGCTGAACAGTTTTAGCCACTCAAAAGCATTCACACTACGGCCACAGAATAACTATTCTTTAAATTTTTGAGATGTTCAAGCTCGTGTCTTAGACCAGTAACTCTAGATTTAGCTGCCAAGGGTACACTTATGTATTTTGAAGGTGCACCCTCATATAGATTTTCACATCTATAACATTAGCACAAGTTATGGCTTGGCCTGAATTGGATCAGATGGCAGAGATGCTCCACAACATGCTAGATTTTAAATTTAAACTTCAACAGAAACATTAAACTGGAATATATGCCCTACAGTCATAAGGGTCTTAACTACTCAATACCTGGATACAAGTTACAAATTTGTTCCAAGCATGCCCCCACTCTGGTTTAGAAGTTGCATTAGATGCCAAACACTTGTGAAAGCTTTGCATTTACAACCTAATTTTATACAAATTTACTCCAAGCCACACAAAGTTCAAATGCCTGCAGTTTTAGAATTTTCTAAACTATGTCTTGTCATAATATACGAAGTTCAGGGATGAGGAACCTGTGACCCTTCAGGTGTTGAACTCAAACTCTCAGAATGGCTAATAATCAGGGATTATGGGAGCTGTAGGAGGGGGCACAAGTTCCCCATTTCTGTTGCAGTTCTTAATTAGGATTTGTATTCCATTCAAAACAGAATTATAGTTTGTTGAAAGACTTAAGTAATAACGCCAGTTAGTTTAAGACCAAGAGATGTAGTTGGTTGGCATATGTAATCTTTGTGAAACCAAGAGGAGATAAGTTATGAATGTGCATTTTAACCTTCCTTCTCAAGTCCCAGCTTGTTTTCTGGTATGTCATGTTTTGAGGGTGCTCAGCCAATTGTACTAGGTCTCTAGGTTTACTTGTGTGAAACATTTAAAAGCATGGAGAATGTTTATGGAGGAGCCTAACCCAAAGGAGTTAAATGCCAAACACCATTAAAGCTTCACAGTAGTTTAGTATGCCCTGAACCAACTGGAACTATAAGACAGTCATGTATTTTGGGCTTACCTCTGCTATTAAGCTCCCACTGGGTTTTGTTTTTTTAAACAAGCTCTTTTCTACATACTTCTCATACCACACACTTCATTGTACACATTTGGAAGGCAAAAAGAGGAAAACGCAGGATGGTAAAGCAATGCCTGCTCAAATACCTAAAATCAACAGAACACCAGCACGTACAGTAGTTTTGGAAGTTCTAAATATTGTTGAGCCTGTTTCTTCTCAAACCTCCAAGAGACGGGGTATCAACTTTCTCTTCTAATGCTATCTAGAAAAATGGCAGCGGCAGTTAGCAGTGTCAGGATTTGGTTAAGTCACCCCTCGGTGTAAGAACAGGCACCGGAGGGGAAATTAGCATCTTCACGAGGGGAGACCCGAATGGAACATTTAGGAAAGCCTACAGCCTTCATCGTCCCCCCGCACCAGATTCAGCAGCGCACTTTCCCTTCCTTATCAAGGTCGCCTCCACCCTTCTCAAAGATCCTTGTGCCACCCAAGATGTTTTGCAAAGAGCTCCTATGCAATCCGCCCAAATCTCCGGCACGCCTTGCTTCTTCACTCGGATCCAAAGCGGCGGGAATCTGAGCCGCCCCCCACTTTTCACAGACCTGGACAAATCAAAAGAGCCTCTTTGCCCTGCAAGGCCAAAAAAAACAAAAACCCACCCCACAATGCAACAGATATCTGGTGCTGCTGACTGCAGCGAGGCGGCGGAGTTAATTACACACAATCCAAACTAACCCGAGACTTCGCCCCCCCTCCCTCTACCTTCCCAAACACCCGCTTCCTCCACCATCCCCCTAACCCGAGCCTCGGGGGCGAAAACCCGCCAGCAAGTCGCTCCACGACCTCGGCGGAGAAAACAAGCCCACCACGAGACGCCGTTTGCTCCGGGCCGGATCGTCTGCAGGAATCCCCCACCTTCCCGATCCCCCGGGCGCTTTTTGTGGCACGTTTCGGACCTTACGGCGCGCTCGCCCCTTTTCTCTCTCTTCTCTCTCCTCCCCGCCCACTCCCCCCAGCGCGCCTCGAGGTGTACATGCCAAGGCTCGCGGTCCCGACCTCACCCGAGCCGACAGGGAAGAGAGGTCCCACCTTGTGGCCAAGGCTGCGAGTTAAAAACCCGAGAAGTTGCGCTCCGCCCTTAACACAGGAAGTGGGGGGGGGGGAGGGAGAAAAGAGAAAACATTCCCGCAACCTGATCCCAACGGTGCCCCCATTTTAAATATTGGGGGGTGTCTATCCCCCCTTCCACCTCTCAACGCAACGTCGAAATTACAGAAACGCCTTCCGGGTCTCCTTTGCTTTCTGCCTTCTTTATTTTTCCGCCACCACCCCCCCCCCCAAGAATAAAACCCCGTCGTCGTCCCCTCACTTTTTGATTTTTAAAGACAGGAGTATCTATTCCCCCCCAAATCCAATCAATTTATGAGGCAAAAATACAGCCTCCCTCACCCCCCTCCCCAACAACACACCATTATACTCTTCCCGCCCCCCCCCCCCTCAGAAGCAGTAGTGCTGGGACCAAGGCCAAGTTTCGTGTGAGGAGGGAACAGTCGGGAGCCCCGAAACGGTACTAACACTGGCGGTGAGGCGAGAGAGCGCAAGGTCCTCCTCTCCTCGCGGCTCCTGCTCCCCCGGCCGCCGCCGCTGCTGCTGCCGCCTTCGCCCCCTTCGCTAACCGCCGCAGCGCGGGCCACGCAGGCGCCTCCGCGAGCGCTCCTTTCGCCCGTCCTCGCCGCCGCCGCCTCCTCCTCCTCCGCCGGCCACCGAGCACCGAGAGCGAGCGAGCGAGCGGGCGAGAGAGCGAGCGTGAGGGAGGCTTAAAATGGCGCCGCTCGCCAGGAGCTTCTTATAAGCGAGGGCGGCGGGCGCGCTCGCATGGTATCCTGCCGCCGACGCCGCCTCGCCGCGCGCAGCATTCCACACGCAGGCGAAACCCACCCAGCAGCAGCAGCGCGCGCGCGCAAGGGGCAGGGAAAGGGAGGAGAAATAGTGCCCGGCCGGCTTCCCCTCAGCCAGCGCGCGCACTCACACATACACACACAGAGCGCGGTGGCGGAGGGAGACGAGCGAAGTCGCTGGCGAAGAGAAGGGGCTGCTAGGCAAAACGGCCTCGCGGAGACTCGGGAAGGATGAGGGATTGTGGGAGCGCGGGGGGAGGGACGAGGCAGGACGGGTGCAGGGATCCGGCGAGGTGTGATGAGGCCCTCGAGGAGGAGGGGGGGTGCAGAAGGAGAGGTCCCCTCTCCCTCCTACCCCCCCTCCCTCTGATCTTGGAGAAGCTGGGAATGAGGCGCGTTCCCGCAGCCTGGGAGAGAAGTTGCTGCTTTTTCGGGGGGGGGAGCTGCCTGCAGGCTGTTTCCCCCCCGACACAAACCCCTTGCAAACGTTGCATGCATGCTTCCCCCCCCCCTTCTATCCATTGCAAATACTTTTGAGGGGGGAAACGTTATCCCTCCCCCCCATATTTGCACCCAGCGAAAGTGACTTTAAATGCACCTCCGCGGTTAGCCAGACCGCCCCGATCCGTGGGAATCAAGGCTCCCCTTCTTCTGCTCCGGGCTTCCGGCGTCGCGTCAACTTACTGCTCGCTTTCTCCCTTCCCGAAGGAAGCCTGGTCTGCAGAGCCGGGATCCTGGGGCTCGGCGTTGGGCTGGGAATTGTCCTCCTCCGGCTGCTGCTCTGGCTTCCCCTCCCCGCAGCAGCGGCAGCCACTCCTTAAAACTTAAAGTTACTACGACGGAGGGCCGGGGAGGAGATTGTGGGGACGGGCGGAGGCGGGGGGAAGAGCCTGCTCTGCAGTTCTTCTCCAAACAAACGCGCCGCGGAGATGTGGGCCAAAGCAAACACCCCACTTTCTCCCCCCCCCACCCACCGTGGTTTCTGCTGAGCGAAAACAAGCCCGAGGAGCTTCGAAGACGGTACCTGGAAGTGGCTCGACGGTGCAAAAGCAACCCTATAGGGTGGTGTGTGTGTGTGTCCCCCCAAACAAATCGCCTAGGCTTGCCAAAGTGTATTTTCTCTATGCCAGATTTCCCCTACCAACACAGATGCTCCCAAGTTTTAGGTCCGGTGGCTGCGATCCTTTGCACGCTTTCCTGGGAGCAAACCTTGCTTTCCGAGGTAACGTGCAGAGGGTGGCACTCCCCGCCCCATCGACGACTGCGGGGTGTTTTGTGTTGCACCCACCACCACTTGCAAAGGGGCCTTCTCAGCTGGCGGGGGCCGTGATTTTGTCTTAACGAGTTGTCCCATCTTAAGTTTCCTTTCTAGGCTGCGCTGAATATTAATATGGGCGAGTTCTTAACAGCCTTAACTGATCAGACACACGCCTATTAATCGAAGCACTCGGCTGCTTTGTGCCTCCTCCAAACTCCTTTCCCAACTCGGATCTGCGTCGATGTTGCAAACATCGGGACGCCCTCACGCTCACAAATGTTGCGCATCAACTCACAAACATCTCAACTTGGCCGGGCGAGAGACTCGACTTGCTCCGGCGCAATCCTGAATAAGACCCGACGTGAATAGCTGACGACGGAGCCGAAGTGACTCCGAAATGTGGAGGAGGAGCGATTAGGTGATTAGGTCTGCCTAGAAACTTTGGCAGGTTTCAGTACGGGACGTAAACGATGCGGGACGATCCCCATGTGGACTTTGGGGGCAGGAAGAGGCTAGAAAGGCAGCCCGTCCTCTTCTAACCGCAAGCTGCCTACCCTCCCGACAGCTGAGGAATCGGAGCAACCAAACCAGCCTGGCTTTTCGCGAGCTTTTGTTTCTGCCTTCGCTCCGCCTCTTCTCCATCTTCGCAGAACTGGGAGGAGGAGTCCCAGGCTGGCGTCTCCTCCAAAGGCCACGTGGGGAAAGACCTCCTCACCGACCTCATCGGGTGGTGAGATTTTGCAGGATTTTTGGGGGGGGGAGGGACCTAAATCCCCCAAAATTTATTGATCCCTAACTCCCATCATTTTCCCAGTAGTGATGTATGGAAGTGAGAGCTGGACCATAAGAGAGCTGATCGCAGAATAATTGATGCTTTTGAATTAGGGTGCTGGAGGAGACTCTTGAGAGTCCCATGGACTGCAAGAAGATCAAACCTCTCCATTCTTAAGGAAATCAGCCCTGAGTGCTCACTGGAAGGAGCTGAGACTCCAATACTTTGGCCACCTCATGAGAAGAGAAGACTCCCTGGAAAAGACCCTGAGAAGGAGAAGGGGACGACAGAGGACAAGATGGTTGGACAGTGTTCTCAAAGCAACTAACATGAGTTTGGCCAAACTGCGGGAGGCAGTGGAAGACAGGAGTGCCTGGCGTGCTCTGATCCATGGGGTCACGAAGAGTCGGATACGATTAAACTACAACAACAACAAACTGCCATCATGCATACTACTTGGAAGGAATTTCCCACCCTCCCTGAATACAGGGGGGCTTTCTTCTGAGAGTTAAAAGGCACCACAGGGGTCATCTAGTCCAACCCCCTGAAATGCAGGAATCTGCCACCCGAAGTGGGATTCAAACCCACGACAATGAGATTAAGAGTCTCACGTTCTACCCACAGTAGTCCTGTGTGTCTTGGATGCTTACCTGGGAGTAAGTCCCGCCAAACTCAGCAGGAGCAATAAGCAAAGAAACTGGCTGCCCTGTGTATCTTGCCAGCTTCAGTGATTTGTGGGTGATTTTACAATGAAATGATCTTAGAATGTTGTATCATTTTACTGTTGTTAGCCGCTCTGAGCCCGGCTTCGGCTGGAGAGGGCAGGATATAAATAAAATTTTATTATTATTATTACCTGTATCTGCTAGCACTTTGTTGGTTTTGAGTACCTAACACAACATCTGTTCTTTATACCCAAGGTATTATGCAGCAAACTTTCCCAAGTCACTTCCTCCTTGAAGCTGTTCTCCCAGGAACTTGTTTAAGTATCGAAAACCAGCAACTTCCAAATCATAATTAATTCAAAGGTGAAAAAGTTCTAAACTTCTGGAAGCCCAATCCCAAATGTCCAATGGTTTCAATGAAATGCATTGCTGAGGATTTGAAACTAGCGTGCCAGGTTTTTAAAAAAATAATGGGTAGTTCCTAATTATTAAGATATGAATGATCGATAATGTATTGTTAAATTAGTTTAAGAATCTGTTGCTACAGCTGGAAACTTTTGACACTAATTGGTAAGAAAATAACAAGATCCCATTATAAAGAATCTTGTTTTTCAGCTTATGAACAAAGATGACCAGGGTGATGTCACCATGAAATGAAATCCTAAGAGGAGTATTTCAAGTGAGTTTTGCTGTTTGTATTCAAGCTATGAAGATTTCAGTGCTTGTGTCAAAACAAATCGCCTAACTGCATATATTTTACATGTGAGATGGTTAAAATGTAAATTATTAGATAGAGATACACAGTTTTTGATATTTTGTGATTTATAGCCCAATGCTAGACATGCTCAGAGGTAAGTCACAATGAGAAGTCCTCCTCAAATCATTTACTTTTGAGATGAGACTGTCTTGCTTTTGAGATACAGTGGCATAACCTTGATTAACATTTAAGAATCCATAACTAAAATATATGTTTTTATTCCAGAGTAGCTGGGAGCATGAATGTATCTACTCAGTTAGACTAGATGGTTACCCTACAAGCTTTTACTCAGGAGTAAAAATCTTAGTTCAAAGTACATACAAAGTTCTTAGCCCTGGGTTCAAAGTGTGGCACTGAATTGGCATAATGCTATGTGGATTTAAAATTATCCCAGGGTAAACTGCTTAATTTAATGATTAAATTAGCCGCAGAAAAGTAAGGCATATGTATTTGTGTGTTTGTGCGTGCATTTGTAGACAGATAGATAAAAATAATGGCCAGTATCTCCCCCCCACCCCCCAAAAAAACCCCCAGTGGTACCTGAATTAAGGGGTGTATTTTCTGTTTATTGGAGTCTGCAGCCATTATTTTAAAATAAGGAACATCTGATAATGTTGGATCCTGTAAACATATAGAACTTTATCCCCCAATACTCTCCTTCCATTTGGATCAAAATGGTGTGTGTAATTGTAAAAATTAGCAAGCAGATTCATTTTTGGAATTGGGAATTGACTGTGGTCTCAAAGGCCGTTCTACCTGAGAAGCTGTTTTAACGCCAAGAGTTAAAACAGGCAAACAAACAGGTTTTCTCACTTTAGGCCCTCTTTTGCCCCCAGCAAAATGGGGATAAGGCCACAGCATCTAGGCCCGTTCCCCCACAATCTGTGCAGAAAATTCGAAGTGTTGGGGGCGACAAGACACCCCCATTGAGTAGTCTGCAAGTAATTCCACTGGGCATTTGATCACAACAGGAGAAATTGCCTACTACCCTTGAAGCATTTCATGGTCCCCGTTACCTTTCAGAGCCTCTTTGTGTGTGCCATCCCACCCTCTGAGGTCTGAAGAGCTGGGGCTATTGAAGTCTGGGTATTGCTGCTGGAGCAGGAGGAATACCGTCTGTATCTCATCCTCTGGTCCTGGAAACATGGCACAGGGAGGAAGAATTGGGCACGATGCGAGTAGGTTTCTAAACTTTTATTTCAAATATATTTCAAGATGCTTGTGATTCCCACCCCCTTGTATATTTTAGCAATTCAGTCTGCATCCTATTGCAGCCTGTTTAGGGCATTTTTGCATGTAGGCAATGTGCATATGAAATGTTTAGTTGATTTCATTTACACTTTTTTTGTGGGGGGGAAGAATTCTGTTCGGGTGTTTTGTGCTTTTTTAACTGTTTGTTTTCTGGAATCCAGGCTGACCAATTTTGGGCATAATGCTCTAAGTGGTGGTTAGTAGACTAATGTCTAATAACTGCGTTTTATGATTGAATTGCTCAACTCCTCAAGGCAATACAACTTATACACAATGTAAGGCAACTTATTGTGGTCCTGTTGTTAAAAAGTGAGACTCAAGTTAATAGATTTACAGAGCTGTGTATAGAAATTAGCCACTGGTATTTTCAAGCAATGTTCATAGTTTTGGAAGTTGCAGTTTTTGAATCAGAGATGATGGTTTGAAAGGGTTGTTATGGTGACCCTGCAGAGATTTATGCTTTCCTACCAAAAACAGGGTTAAGCTACAGTCTGATATCATTATCATCTATTTGTAGAATAAGAAATGATCATAATAAACAACTGGCTTTTGTAATTTGCTTCAAGATAAAAATAAAAGCACTTTGCTTAGTTTGTTGGGCCGTTTTATTTGTTGAAATCCGCTTTAATGCAGCAAACGGATAAAATGCAGAAAGTTATGCTTAAGGTAATCATAATTGGCTCTTATTTACACTCAGAATATTAAATTCTAGCTATTCCTGATTTAGAAGCATACTGAAGAATTAAACAGTACAGTAGTGCCCCTGATGGAGCAAAACTACATTTAAAGAAACATCAAAACAGTGGGCCTCAGCCTTTGATGTGTAGCCTTGAAAGATACGTATAATTAACTTACAATATTGTGTTTGTTAGGAAAAGATTTAAAAATCATACAAATACTTATTTTTTTTCTGAAGCAGAACTTTATTTTAAATGCTACCTAACTGCAGAACAATACTCTCTTCAGTATACAAAATCTTTTCACACTTGCAAAAGTAAAATTGTTACATAGATGGCATACTCTAGCTTCTCTGATGGGATAAAGTTACAAATGAATGCAAAAGAGGAATATCTTGCATTTCTGTATTGTGGTTCCGCCTTATGAATAATAAGTGCAGTGTCACCTATGCAGTTGATAAATATATTTGACGTTTGCCACAGTAGGTGAGTAATTATTCTGGCCAAACCTTAGATTTATAAATATTACCACTAGGAGCAGCTTTTGTTTAGGTTTTCGGGTTGTTTTTTTTCGCTCATGTTATACATAATGACAATATTCTTTTTAGTGTTACTTAAGAAGCATACGTAAACATTATATTTAAAACACACATGCATATTTTCATGTATACGTGTACAATGCAAATATACCCGCGTACCTTGTTTTGTGACTGTTGGCGATTCCAGCCGAATTTTGCAAATGTCTGAAAATTAGAAACACGTAATACCCCCAGAAAGAGCGAAAATTGGTATTTATTTTTTTGGACAGTCACCGATTTCATCTTGGATTGTCAGTGTTCGAGTGTGAAAGTTGACATTCGCCAAACTTGTTACAGTGAACGCCCAAAAATCTGATTATAATTTATTGCTTATTTAAAATACGAGTGGTAGGAATCACTAACCATTGCTAGAGGATACTTTTTTTGGGAAAAAATAGATTCATAAATTAAAAATTTTGAGCATGAACGTTGCCCCCCTCAAAGGTAAGTACAACATAGGACTAGTTACCATCCTTCTTTCAATTTATATAGGTACTCTAACCATTATATTTTCAAATTCCAGTGTGGTTGTGTGACTGAAAGTCTCCTAGTGATTTAGCAGGAGAGACATTAGTCATCCAAGTATGCGATAAGGAAGCATGAATGGGGGGCGGCCCCCTACCGAACAGTAACCTGAACATATAAATACAAAGGTTGGCATTTCTGATTTTTATTGACTTCAAAAAGGGGGAGGGGGGGAAACACAAGGATCATTCAAACTAATAGGATTGCACAGAAGTAATGGGATTTGTGTCAGTGTATGTGGCCTTTGAACACATCCCAGTTCGTGCCCTTTCAAGCATCCCACAGACTCAAAATGATCATTAAATATATACGTATCTAGTCCTTTCTGAATTATATTCTTCCTCTTGTCTTTTAAATCAATATGGGATTTCTGTGTTTAGCCAGCCTTGTAGGGGAGGAATTGTCTGAAATCGAATGGAAAGAAATTGTAGCAGCAATGCCTCTTTCCTCCAATTCCACCTACCTGGTCCCAATATTTTGAATAATGCGCAACCCCTTAAATTCTGCCAGTTGATTAAGAATAAGAAGCCTGGGGAGCAGGGCATAACGAGTTGATAGGCTGCTTTGAAAATATTCTGCTGCAGCTTTATTTATTTCTTAACAGACTGCAGCCAATTCCTTCATCAACCGAGCCAACGTAATGAATGGTTAATTTGAAAATACTTGGCAATGGGGATGAGAGTTTTATTTCAAGAGACCCCCAAACAGGCAAAATCTGGATTTTAGATTTGAAGGGTATGTATTTGCTTAGTTAAATTGTTAATGTTCTTTCCAGCCCTAACAGCTTAAAACTATTCTGAAATGAAGTTGTCAGACTAGTTGCAAACAAGAATACAAACAAGCCATGTAAGTGTCCATTGGACTGTGCAAACAAAGCAAGTTTCTGTTATTATCCTGTATCCAGTGCTTTTAAAAAAAATGTTTAGGGGTATTCTCATTTTCCTACTCATATTGAAATGCTGCCCCTCGATGAGGCCAAACTTAGATTCAGAAAAGGTTTTGGGGTCTGCGTCCCCCCCAGAAAAAAAGCTCTGTCTGCATCCGTATTGCAACTGCTAAGGCTGTGATCCTAAATGCACTTGCTAGGGAGTAAATTCACTTATCACAGTAGCTCTTACTTCGGAGCAAACGTGCAAAGGATTGTTCTGTGGTAACAGTTGTGCCATTTTTGCAATGTCAAT